TGTTATATTTATTGAATCAAATTTTTTTTTTTTTTATTATTATTACAAAAATTGTAAGCTTTCTTACCATGTCGTACTAAGTTAATGGTATCAGGATAGATTCCCGCTGCTGTTGCCTGGCTTCCTAACTTTAAAAATATCTACCAAGAAATATAAATAAATTACCAAGATCAATTTTGTCTGTGATTTGTGTTAGATAGCAGAGGGCTTAAGTTTCTTGTGGCATTTTGTGTCATTTGTTGTTACTTGAGTAGTTATGTGGTAGGAAACTGTTATTACAAAACTCATTAGAAAATTTTTCACTGAAAATTGAATAAAATGTTTGTCTCTCATTCTTTATATCTAGTTGATTCTTCCTGCATTCCTTATTTATTTGTCTTCTATGCTTATCTTCTGTGAGTAATGGGACACCTGTATAGTTTTGCTTGCTCTATTGTGCGCTTTTTTCTTTCCCCCCCTTGGAAAATGTGGGTCTGGTTTGTTTCACTTGCTGCCTTTTCCTCCTGAGTATTTTCATATACTCCCTCTGAATGTCAAGTGATATTTACATTAAATAAATCTCTCAATCCTCCTCCATCTAAGCTGTAACACATTTTTAAAGCGAAGTCTTTCCTGCTTGGCTCTTTGCAGACTATTTCATATACAGTGTTAGATGGCGGCATCAAGGAAAACAGCTTTGCTTTATTCTGCAGGAAGTGTATAATAAAGTCCTAGCTTGTGATGAAGCATGAAATAAATGCTTATATCTTCATTTTATTTAGCTGTGCTATTTATTCTGCTTTGCTGACCTGTTAGGTAATTGCCTATTGCAGCATGTAGTACATTTTCCTTTCTAGTAATAGTTTGCCTTCTCTCATTCTCTGTTGTTGTTATATGTTTAAAATTACTTAATACTTTTTTCTTTTTCAAATAAAAAACCAGAATCAAGACTTGAAGGGTGGCTTTCAATACCAAACAAAGGAAATATAAAGCGGTATGGCTGGAAGAGACAGGTACAAGTGGATTTTTTTTTTTCTTTCCTTCCCTTGAACAGTTCTTTACCATATGGTGATGACAGTATTAGTTTTCCTGCTTGCATTTAAGAAATGATGAAATTGAACAATTTGCAATAAGTGTCACTTCTTCAGGGAAAGAATTTATCTGATCTTCAAGCTTGCCCACGGCTCAGTTTTCCTAAGATATTACCGGTGTATTTTGTAAGATATTTATACTTGAAATGATACTTCTCACGTGTTGAAGGAATTTGAGTTACAAATGTGTACATCTTCCATACAGTGAATCCCGGTGATATGATTTCTTAAAACAGTTGAGGTTCAAATCAGTGAGACTGTAGTGAGGGGCCGTGGTGCCTTGCATGTGTTTTCCACGGGCCAGACTATACTGTGTCTGAAACAGAGCTGGCCTCTGCAGGTGCTTCTGTGCCAAATTCTGCTGCACTTCCAGCTTACAGGAGAGTGAAGATGCACAGCGCCAAATACAGCATGCCCACATTGGTTTAAATTAATAGGAAAGCAAAATTGTGTTAGCACAGTGATTTGACTGATGATGTCTGAGTTAAAACTTCAGTTGCTGCATTTCTGAGGTAAACATCAGTAGTACTGATGGTTTTGCCCTGTGCCCCCTGAGTCATTTTGCTTGTGCCAGAAAGATGTGCATGTGGAAAAGACTCATCTGAGAAGAAAAAAGACTTAGGTTATAGCTAAAACATAGCCCAAGCTATCATTAGAATGAATCAGCCATAGGTTCATCTAGAACCTGTTTTGTGTCCCTAATGCCCTAATGGAGATGAGGGAAAAAAAAAAAAAAAGATAGAAAGAAAGAAAGAATTAAAAATGCCACTGCCGTAAGCCTCATAGGTGCTTTTTTTTTTTTTTCTTTTTTTTCTTTTTGTGTGAGGGTTATATTTTCCTAGCACCAAAACTTGCAGTAGGGCGTGGTGACCGAATTCCCCCTCAGTCAGAACTTGCATTTGTCAGTATTCCTCTTAATGCCTTACGCTTATGTTGAGCGGCGGGCGCGCACGCATGGAAGGCAAGGAGAGCATTCGCTCTCTGCTGGAGCAGACCAAGGGAATACCAGGAGCACCAACTCGTTTCTCTTCAGCGCACGCAGCTACGCGTGGTGCTGCCGCTTGGCCTCCGCTCCCCCTCAGCAGGCCCTATGCTCAGGAATGATGCTCCGCTCCACCAGCCATATCCCCTGCCCAGGGGCTCGGCAGGGGCAAACGCCACCTCCCGTAGCCTGTTGGGCTGCGTTCCTGCCCTTGGGACATGCCCAGATGTGGCGGGCAGCTGGTTCGGCACGTCCAAACGCTGTTCTGGGTGATGGCTACGGCAGCCTCCGAGTGCAGGCTGGGACGTCAGGCTGAAAGCCCCAGTGTAATGAGTAGGTCCGGCCTGTCCTTGTAGGAGTAGTAAACTCCATTTCCTTGGATTGCCAGTACTGGTACTGTGCAGAAGCCCTTCCAGCATCTGCCAGTAACTGCAGCTCCAGGTGGGCTCTGAATTCCCTTTCATCTTTTCTTCCCCTTCTTTGTGAGTTATAATTTGCCTCCATCAGGAGCTGAACACAGCCCAAACAGTCTTGAACAAGGACATTGAACTGGCAGCTCGCGAGGAACAGAAACAAGCAGCAAATTCTGTAGACCTGAACTCAACTGGGAAGTTTAGGTTGGAGGTTTTTGAGCTTAGCTGGCCTATGGGCGATGGTGCTGAACAGTTTTTGTTTTCCTCAGCAGCTTTGTTTTTCTCGTCATGTGAACACAAAGTCAATGCACAGCTTCTGTGTAAGCAGTGCTGGAAGAACTTCACAGGGCTTCTTTGTTTTGTTTTGTTTTTTTAATCTTTTTTGGGCTTCAGTATTAGGGAAATCTCTTGCAAACGGGGCTTGTGCTCCAGTGTCCCGGCTCTGATGGGCACAGGGTCTTCCCAGGAGTCCTTTGCACATTCCCTGGAATCCTGTGGTTTTGGGAGTGCTGCCCTTTTTCACTGGCACGAGATAGATATTATGCAGGATTTGAGCAAGCTTTTTAAAACACTTGGGCAGGAAAATCTTATTGGCACAGCACTTTATCTCTCTGTTCTTTACCATCTCTACCGCTCCGGAAAATACTGTGTGGTTTGACATGGACAGTGACACGTAAAAGGGGAATGCCCATCTGTTTCCTCCGTTTCTGCAGACCCTTCCTTTACTAAGTGCATTCCTTGGAATTCCATATATTCCATATGCCTTTGGAACACAGACATTCTTTCTTACTGCCAGTGTGATTTTGCTCTGTTTATCTCCAGTCTGTTGCACAGAAAGTGTAGGAAATAGGTTCTCCCAGCTCCAGCTAGCTCTTTTAGGCAACCACTTGCTTGGCACAAAGTACTAGCAAGTCTTGAGAGTCTCTAGACTACAGGAGATGTTTACAGTCTAACCAGCACGTGAGGGATTCTGCACTCCAGGAGTCACTCGGTGACGCAGTGATTTCATAGCAGCATTTAAGTAGCATCTGACCTTGGCGAGTTACCTGTGTAGATAGACAGACTTCAAGAATCTTTGCAAGCGTTTTAGAGCACTACCACGACCAGTACGTTGGTAGTTTTGATCATTGCAGCTGTAGCATTATACAGATGTCAGTAGTATGGCTGTCTGGATGATAATTTAAAAATTTCCTGTTACTGTTTAGAGGGAAAAAAAAAAAAAAACTTAGTTTATTCAGACCTTTTATGTGCACATGGGAGTAGTGTGTGATAAATGTTGCTTTTCAAAATGCAATTTTAACTTGGTTTTACCCTTTCTTTTCCCAGTATGTTGTGGTGAGCAGTAAAAAGATACTATTTTATAATGATGAAAAGGACAAGGACCAGTCTAATCCATCCATGGTACTAGACATAGAGTAAGTAAAGCTACTGTTAGTTTGGGATGCAAATCAAGATAAGAGTCTTGTTTGTAAAGAGGAATGATTAAAGATCTGGAAATGTGGAATAAAAATTCTACAAGTACTTTTTGACTTCCTTTAGTATTTTGGATGCAGGAATTGCTGTTTTTGTTTCTTTGTTCTATTATTGCTGAAAGCCAGAGCAAAACCTAAACCTGAAATAGTGTGGCACAGTGCTGTGAGCTAGTCTGAATTTATGGAAGTGAAGAATCTTGTTGGCACAGCGAAGGATGGGAGATAGTGGGGCATATGTGTTATGCCTCATCCTTTTATGATTGTGTTCCCTTTTATCTGTGCTGGCTGGCTGTATGGGGAGGGGAGAAGCCACAGTTCTCTCCCCCCAACACTGCCTGTAATGACTGATTTTTCCAGCTGCTTTAGCAGAGAGGTTGTAGAATCTCCTTCTCTGGGGATATTCAAACCCGCCTGACTGTGACCCTGTGCCACGTGCTGTAGGTGTCCCTGCTTGAGTAGGAGGGTTGGACTAGATGATCTCTGGAGACTCCTTCCAACCTCAGCCATTCTGTGATTCCTTAAGGGAGTTATCCTGAGTCATTTTGCTTGTGCCAGAAAGATGTGCATGTGGAAAAGACTCATCTGAGAAGAAAGACTTAGGTTATAGCTAAAACATAGCCCAAGCTAACGTTAGAATGAATCAGCCATAGGTTTATCTAGAACCTGCTTTGTGTCCCTAATGGAGATGTATTTGAAGTGGATTTTTTTTTAATCCAGTGTAGAACCAGAACTTCTCTCAGAATAATATTTTGTATAGTCACAACAAGAGTGACATTGACACTGCTGTAAGCCTTATAGGTATATGTTTTTTGAAGGTTATATTCTCCTAGCACCAAAACTTGCAGCAGTGCGTGGTGACCGAATTCCTCCTCAGTCAGAACTTGCATTTGTCAGTATTGCTCTTAATGCCTCACGCTTATGTTGAGAGGCGGGCACGCACGTGTGGAAGGCAAGGAGGGCTCTGAACCCAGCAAGTGCTTAAGCTGCCAATAGCTGTTAATCAGGAGAAGAATCATTTTCTTTTTGAGCTGTTTTTATACCCTTTTTGTAAACATCTCTTAAAGGTAACTGTTGAAAACGGGTTGTTGGGCTGTATGGACTTAATGGTTTTGACCTGGTATAGGATGTTGTTTGCCTTGTGTCTTGCATTGACTGTTCATCAGTTTATAAGTTCATTTAGTAAAACAAGTGTAGTGAGTATGCTTCATAGATTTACTCCATTCAGGCTTATTTTGTTTTGGCAATAATCAACTAGAGTTCCCAGTGTTTTGAATAATAGTTTGAAAGCCTTTTTCACAAGGATGTCTGCTGAGATGGATCTTCAGCCCCTTATAAGTTTGTCCACTTTACATGCTGTGACATGTTTTAGTCTTAGTTAGGGAGACAACATCTATATGGTTTATGAATTCAGTCATAAAAGTGAATTTCTAAAGCCATATTGTAGCCTTGAAGTATATGATATTGCTTGCATGAACAAGGTTTATTTATACGAATATCAGAGCAATTTGGAAACTATGTTTTAAGACCTTATGGCCTTTGAGTGTTTTCTGAATCTTGTTTCTTTTAATTCTAGTAAACTGTTCCATGTCCGGCCTGTAACTCAAGGAGATGTATATGGAGCAGAAACTGAAGAAATTCCCAAGATATTCCAGGTAAAAAGAAGTGAAATATTTCTGTTTAACTGTCTTCACAGAGCTAAGTGGCTTCATTGAAAATGCTCAGAAATACGTGGTGTTTCAGCAGTAACGTGGTAGTATTCTCTTTCAGATTCTCTATGCTAATGAGGGGGAATGCAGGAAGGATTTGGAAGTGGAATCAGTACAACCAGCAGAGAAGACAAATTTTCTAAATCACAAAGGCCATGAGTTTATTCCAACGTTATACCACTTTCCAGCCAACTGCGAGGCCTGTGCCAAGCCTCTTTGGCATATGTTCAAGCCCCCTCCTGCCCTGGAGTGTCGAAGGTGCCATGTAAAGTGCCACAGAGACCACTTGGATAAAAAAGAGGAATTAATTGCGCCATGCAAAGGTATACTCGTGTTTTTTGCATCCTGTATTCTCTGCATTTTTATCCAGACTTGCTAAATCATCAGATGCAAACAAAAGCTCTTAGTCTAAAAGTGTTCTAGTCTATAAATTCATATCTTAGGTTTGAAAGGGGCAGTTAAAAGAATAGACCATTAAGGTGGGTTATGAAGAGGCTGGGTTATGGGAGGCCTTTGGTGGAGTAACTGGTGCAGTCCTGCTGCAGACCCTGAGAGCACAGGAGTCCCAAAGGGTTGTGCCCAGATGCTGAGCAGCTTCTCTTTACACTTTTTTCAAAGTGGAATATTTGGGGTGGAAACTCTGGAATTCAGTCATAAAACACAACTTTACAGTTTATTAAGACTGAAATTAGTGTGAGTTTTCTTGCCTCTGACACCAAGATTAGAGGAATGAGAATTTTTATAGAGAGATTAGTAAAGTATAAATATAGACCTTTCCATTATAGATGCCTGTGTGGATACCAGTGTTCTTCCCAGTGGCACAGTTACCATTTCATAATTCTTAATCTGATGATTTGTCCTAGTTTTCATTGAATCGTCTTCCTTCTTTTACTTACAGTGAGTTATGATGTAACTTCAGCAAGGGATATGTTGTTATTGGCATCCTGTCAGGACGAACAGAAGAAATGGGTGACTCATTTAGTAAAGAAGATCCCTAAGACACCACCATCTACTTTTGTTCGTGCTTCTCCTAGAACTATGTCTACAAGATCCTCAGCAAATCAGTCATTCCGAAAAGCTGTTAAAAATACTTCTGGAAAAAATAGGTGAGAAATAAACTGCAAAATTTTTTGAGCTTAACTCAAAAATCTTTTATATAAATCCTATTTAATAGGATCGTGTGTAATAATTCCCTAGTCAGAACTGTTGAACTGATGATCTAAATCTTTGTTCAGATCATCAGAGACAGAGGGTTTCTGTTATAGATTCACCCATTTTTTGGGTTTAGGAAGCAGAACAGAGATGGCAGAGGACTCATTAATTCTTTGAGGGGAAAAAACTGTCTGTGACTGGGCTGCCAAGGCGTGTGAGGGCTTGGTTGAGTTTTTGTCTGTTGAAGGACAAGGCCCAGCAGATATTTCAGCAATGGCATTGAGCTGCAGGGGTGATCCACATAGAGGCAACCCTAGATTGACCCACGGTGTTTTTGTATAATCCAGAAATCTCCCGGAAATGGGGACAAAATGAGAAATTTATACATCAGTGACTCAGGATTTTTTGTCTGAGCCTACTGAGAAACTTGTGATTCTCAGCCCGTCGTAATGCCATTTCTTTTGGTATCAATGGCAACTTCGATAACCCATCCCATCAGTTGTTTTGGCAAAGCTGTTGATGAGCCTGCGCATTAAGCAGAGCCAGATTTTAAATATCCCCTTTTTTAAACACTAGGTTTCTGTATAGTTTCCATATGTAGTGTGCCTCTTGCTTTCCAAAGCCCAAACAACTGAGGGGAAGGCAGACTGGCCTGGGAACAAGTGTCTCAGTAGGGAAGGAGGCTTTCTGGGTGCCCAGGCTAGCAAAACAGCTAAGTGCAAACTTTGGCCTTCTAGATATGCTCTGTTTTCCTTTTCCCCCTGCCTTGGAGATGTGCAGTCTGTCTTCCTGTGCCAGGTGGGTTGTCCCTCTGCCTGCCCCATGCGTGCCATGGGGCAGTACTCCTTTGAGGGCCTCCTAGATAGTGAGTTTGTGTGAAATTTTCAGGATAAATTTTACTACGAAATACCTGCTTATAGGATGTGTTCTATTATTATGTGTAAAAGAGATTTCTCATCCTCAAGTGTGAGGAATGCTGGCAGTGAAAGGAAAATGCATTTTTATTTTTGTTGTGGAATATATCCAAGACTTCTCTTAAAGACTGAAATAGGGCTGGAAAGGATTATTTCAATAGACCCGCTAAGCGCATCTCTAAGATGCATTAACTGGATCCATGTAAAACAACACTTGGAAGATTAGCATCCTGACAGTAGAGTTCAATAACAGAGAAATGCTTCTCCTCAGTTATTGAGCATGTTACTTCTTTCTTCTCTCTGCCCTGCCAAACCATGCCCACGTGGAAGTCGCTTTTTAAAGGCGCTGCGTAGTTATTGATTTCACTTTTAGCTTTTTAGGGTGGTAATCTAATCTTTCTTTCTTTTTACAAAAGGCTGCTTGAACACCATTCTGAGTCTGCTGTTCTTCCATTTGCACTTGCCATGCCCTCCGTTAGCTGGAATAACTGACTGACTTTTTTTTAAAGCTCTGTGGCATGGCTTGTCTCTGATTTCTTTTGGGCTAGATGGGGGTCTTCAGTCAAGACATACTGCAGTCACTGTTCATACGGCCCTGATAGACTGAGGAGGAAATTCTGTCAAACACCGTCACACTTTTTTTTTTTTTCTTTTTTAAAAAAGCCTATCATAATTCTGCTTATTTCAAACCTTTTTTTCTTTTTTTTGTTATTTTTGTTATTTTGTTGTAGTGTCAAAGGCATAGTGCACCTTTCTGCATCTTTTGTCAACTCTCGCTTGGCAGATTACCTTGTTAAACTGATTTTATTTGCCAGTACAGCAGTGAATAAACCTAGGAATGCTTCCTCTGAGAGAGGAAAAAGAAAGGAAGGAAAAGAAACAATCTGACTTTTTCTCCTCTTAGGGAGTTAAAAATGATTCATGGGATGTCAGCCTGCGCCCTGATATCACTGCATGTTCCCTTTCATCCACCCATGAAAGAAGTGTGAATTTATTGTAGCAAAGTTCATCAGGCTTTTAGAGAGACACTTGAAGAGTAGATGATTAAATTAAGCAGCTGTTTTGTACAGAATATTTAACTGCTGATGGTGCAGCTGTGGATCTGATTCAGTAGCCTGCTGCCACTGTGACGGAGGAGAGGCTTTTACCTCCCTCCTGCTCCACGGTTCTCCCAGCTGTTGCTCCTGGGCAGGGAGGCTGGAGACGTGAGTAGAAGCAGCCCGCTGAGCAGCACGGTGGGTGCTGAAGCTGAGGAGAGCTAAACAGGAGCGTGTTCACACGGAAGCAGGGGCATGGTAGAAGAAAGAGCAGTGGAGGGATCAGTAGGACCTTTTCCCTACAGGTAGCAGCGAGTTGTTGCTCGATCATCAGCCCTCAGCTCCAGGGCCCTGCTTGTTTTCCTTACCCTGACCTTTTTACCTCAGCATGTGGTGGAAGAGGAGCCATGATATCTGTATGAAATATATGCATTTAACTTTCACCAAGTTTTAGCAAACATGCACTAGCCCTATGGAGCTGATCGTTATACTCATTTTCCATTGATTGTCTGTTTTCCTCTTTGTTGCAGCTAACCACCTGTACAGTGCTTAATGGAACCTCACGGGATGCGGTCTGAAAACCAGGGCTTCTTTAACCACACAGCGCAGCGCAGCCAGGCCGTTGTTCCTTCCAACGTCACTATCACAGGCTTCAGGGTTCAGATTGCTATTACTGTCTCCTCCTTGCTTTGGCACAGAAGCACGCTGAGGGTGTTTAATTGCGGGTTTGCCTAAAGGTAGATTAGATTAATTATTACTGTGTAATGCAAGTTAAAGCAGATACAGCTTAGCTAGGTGTATGAAAAGGTGCTGCCTTTTTGGATTAAAAACAAACAAACAAAAAAAAACACACACAAAAAAGCCTGTCAATCATGATGAAATGCAGCCAACTCTCTTCGTATCAGTGAAAGACAATGACTGTTTACCCTGTGAGGGGATATTTATATCCAGATGACCATATGAAACTGCGTAGAGGAGGAAGGTTTCTCAATGAGAAGGACTGCAATTGCTTTCAAGACCCAAAGTCGTGTTCTTGAAGACTGCAGAACTAGCTTAAAAATGAAGCCTTATCACTTGAACTTCAGTGCCTTCACTGCAGAGTTCTTAGCAGCCTTAATGCTAATCACCCACTATGGAATGGATCAACAAAGTGTTAAATATTTTGTGTTATGCTTTACGAAACACTGATTCAGCGAATTTGTAAAGGGGGAGGACAATAAGTAATTGCATTTAATCTATGCATTTTTGCCAAGCCATACCGAATTATTTTATTCTTAGAGGCATTAGAAACTAACAGTAAAAAGAACCGAGTTTGGAAGCATATTTTGGGGTACATCATTTCTGTAACTGTATAATGTATTGCCTTACAATTTTAAGTGATAACATACATTAAGTTAACAAACATTTAAGAAATGTATGCACTGTTTGAAATGTAAATTATTCTTAGAACACTTTACTGGGTTTTTACATTGTCATTTTAGTGCCTTGAGATAACTGTATTATTGCCATGTCAATAAATGTAGAATTCTAAAACTAAACAAAGGAAACCTGTAAAAAACTATTGCATATCAGTGGATTTTATTGAATTCAATTGGTTGAAGTATCGTAGATGCTAGATACATTTTCTAAATTAAATACTATCTTTGAATGACAATTCCTCTTACAAAGAAAGACTGCTCCAGTTCTTAAGGCAAGAGGCAATGCAAACAAACATGTAACACCAAACTGCAGGTAATTCAGGAATTTTCAGGAAACGCTGTCAAACTCTTGCTTTGTAGCGGGAATACATTCATGGTATGGGCAGTATGGTTTTATTTTATTTTATTTCTTAACCAAATACCTCCTCAGTAATTTATAATGGCTTTGCAGTTGTGTATTAAATAAGAAGCACTGGAAAACTGATTCGTCCTTAGGACGACTTGCATGTTTCAAGTGGTATTGAAAGCCGCACTGATGGATATGTAATAATAAACATATCTGTTATTAATATGGTAATGACTCTGTGCTCATTTAATGAGAAATAAAGTAATTTATGGAAGGACCCTTTTGAAAATGACTGGCATGGTGTTTTCTCCTGACTGCAGTTTATACTTCTTTGTAAGCGTCCAGACATCACAAGAGACTCCAGTGCAAGGCTGCTTTTCCACCTTCCACTGTGTGTT